GTAATTTAATTTATTATTTCAATTAATCTAATTTATCACCTGATTTATGAAAAAAAAACTTAATCTTCTTTTTTTTGAAATATAATCTTTAAATGCAGGTTCTCAAGTAATTTTCTCTTGTTAGATTGCCCCCCTCTCTATACCTGGTTAAAGCGGGATGTGACAGAATTGGGGCCTGGCAAGTCCCTTGCCCCGTTTATTTATTTTTAATTTTTTTTATGTCTTGAGTTAGTGGATATTATTATTATTTTTTTCAATTTGTCAAGAATAATTCATGTTTTCTTTAAAATGATGGTAAATTTTTTATTTTTATTTGATAAAAAATTTAAATTTGAAATAAACTTTAAACGATGCGTGTAGTGGGTGCAGATATTATATTTCTTATACTCGCTTCGGAGCAACGATTCCTGCCCCATTCACCCGATTAGGTAATTAATTTCCATCCCATTTGGATCGAAGCCCGCGAGTATCAGGTTGAACGAGTTTTTTGCTATCCTTGAAAAATATGGCATCGTTAAAAAAAAAAAAAAAAACTACGACAGAATTCCATCATAATTACCTTCTTCTTAAATTAAGCCCCAATTTGGTATGGATTAAAATCAAAATTTTAATCTAAATCTAAATTAACAATTAATTTTAATCACGTATTTTATGTGATACATAACTTTTTAATCACACATTTCGTCAATTTTATCAAAATTTAATAAAATTTTGACTTTAGGCGCTACCAAACATAGGCTAAGTTTACAAAATAATAGAAAACAAAATTTACTTCAGTTACTTTTTTCATTTAAAAAACTACTTCTAAGTTTTAAGGAAATCAAATTTAAAACAAATAATTTCCACCCCACCCAACCAATCTCCTTATTATATTCTTGTTTGATTTCATTTTTTTAAAATACATTTTTTTCTGTCTACTTTTAATCATATATTTTTCAATAAAATAATGTTGCACGTAAATTCAAAACCGTTATTTATTTTTTAAACACATATTCTTCGTCAATTAACTATTTTAAAATGCATTTTTAAGTTTTAACGTGAGCCAAGTAGTTTGTTACATGTTTTATAGTTTCCAGCGGCACCACCTTGTACGGCCCTCACATTTCACAGAGCCTTTTCATCACGATATAAACCCGCTCCATTACCAGTTCCATCATTCTGTTGATTGCTTTATCCCTAAAAAATCAAATCCAATATGTCTCCGGCGAATAGCAATCAGCTGCCGCCACCGGCCGCCACCGTCAGTAGTGGTGATTCTGGAGAAATTATGTTGTTTGGTGTCAGAGTAAAAGTTGACCCCATGAGGAAGAGCGTCAGCATGAATAATCTTTCTGATTATGAGCCAATTGTTAGTAATAGCAATCATAAAATCAATAAGAGCAATGAGAACTCGAACGCGACGGTGGAGGATGGCGTCGCCACCACCTGTTATGCTTCAGCTGATGACGCCGCGCCGCAGCCTACTGGCGGGAGATGTGAGCGTAAACGAGGTTGATCTAATTTTCATTTGTTTAGTTATAACCGCTTAATAGTCGTTTCTGGAATAAATATTTTTTAATGAATTGATTTATGAATTTGAATTCGTATAATATTTGATTTGTATATATTACATCAATTTCAAGGATCGCCGATTGTATATATATAGGTTTATGAATTGACCTTGGAATCTCCCAAATTTTGGATGATTGATAATTTGCATAGCTAGTTGGCTATCTTTCACTAAAGATTGTTATCTGAATTTGATGGAAAATCGTGTTTTTCAAATTTAAAACTGGAAAAGAAGATTTTTCCCCCCTCCTTGATGAGTAAGCAAATTCTAGATACACGAATATTAAGGAAGCCTTGTTGGTTATTGAATCCAATAATATATTCTTTCTTGATTTATTGTGTTCTCTAATGTTTTCAGATATCATGTTGTAGTAGGTTTACAGCAAGTGCAAAAGTTTGTCAAATCCTATGAGCTATCTTAAATTTATTGGAATAAGGCTTTGTTTGTTGTTGTTGTAACGTTTGTTGGATTGATTTTGATTCGCTTTTGTTGGTTCGGGATTTTTTTATATAGGAGTGCCGTGGACAGAGGGAGAACACAAGCTTTTCCTCCTTGGACTACAGAAGGTAGGAAAAGGAGACTGGAGGGGTATCTCTAGAAATTATGTCAAGACTCGTACGCCAACCCAAGTTGCCAGCCATGCCCAAAAATACTTTCTCCGCTGGAGTAACCTCAATCGACGTCGCCGTCGTTCTAGCCTATTCGACATCACCACTGACTCGGTAATTTTATTGATCAGATCACAATTCACAACATGTGTGTTGTTCCCTTGTGTTATAGGAAAATATAATTGGATCATATGCTTGACGTTTCTTTTTGGTTAGTTGATTTCAAGCTGTTTTATTTTGATTAATGTGAAGTAGATAACGCTTTCTCCAAAAGTTCACATTTTTTGTACATTTTAAGAGACAAGTCCACTTTTTATGCTGGTAAGCAATGTTGTTCTCCACTTGTTTCCTCTACTAAATTCAGGGGAGGAGACTTTAAGTGGTTGGGAATGTTATTTATAGACTTAAAAGAGTTTCACATTGATAAGAGTAACGAATCTCAGCAGAACAAGAAAAGGACGGTTGATCGAAACTAACATCTGAGTGTCTAAAAAGTATTACTATAGCAAATTCAAATTTTTATTGTGAATGAGGCTTAGTTGTCATTATTGCTTTTTCGTATGTTGGATATATGAATAGCCTTTAAGTTCTATTCTGTACTGCTTAGGTTACTGCAATGCAGATTGAAGAGTCCAAAAGCCATCAGGATAGAACATCCCAGTCAGTTCTGCAGCTAATCTCTCTCCCTCGGCTGGAAAGTTCCAACATCTGTGGATACCCATTCGCGCCTTTCTCGATGACCATTGGCCAGGTTCTGTTACCAAAGCAAGTCGAAAATCCAATTGAAAATCTCACTCTTGGACAATGTGATCAAGTGAATAATCCATCTGCCCTACTAGTTCATCCAGCTTCTGTTTTTCCCACGTCGACTCCCTCAACAGT